GCGGCTTCCACACAACCAGCCTCCTGCGGCTCAGCTCATCGTACGGCACTGCGGCAGCGTGGAGTCACTTAGCTGCCCGAGTCACTTCTCAGTGACGCGGCCATCGGCCGGGCCACGGGCCCGCACCATGCCATTCTCCGGAATGACCCCTACCCCCTCAATGTATTGCTAACTACCCCTTCGAATCTCTCCTCGTCTCCCGCTTCCTGCCTTGTGTTGCTCTCTGCCTCTAGTCTTGTCTTGCTCTCTGCCTCTAGTCTTGTCTTGCTCTGTGCCTCTAGTGTTGTCTTGCTCTCTGCCTCTAGTGTTGTCTGGCGCTGTCTGCCTCTAGTGTTGTCTTCTTATGTTAATCTTCTCCCTCCTACTCTTTCCCCTTAATCTTTCGCTTCTCTAGTATGTCGAGGAATGACAGCAGGGTCGAGCTGCACCGTATCTGCGCGTGTTGCAAGACCTCCGACGCTGAAGACCCGCCAAGCCGACTCGATACAGATACTCTATTCAGCGGCGATCCTCCCTTCAAGGTGCTGTTCTTCGCCGACGCGGAGCAGCGATGCGGACTCAACGTCGAGGAGGAGAGAGACTTGATCAGAGACCGCTTCATGGCAGGAGCTCACGAGCAAGGAGACGCTGCGTTCATAGGGTTCGCCAAGAATGTTGTTTTCGAGTATTGCTTCAAGAAGAAGATCACCGACCTTGCCCGGGAGCTGAGCAGAGTAGAGCCAGTCGTCCTCCACCTTGCTTGCCATGGCTACCAAGACGGTAAGATCTGCATAGGCGGCAAGCATCATACCCCTCAAGAGCTCACCGATACACTGGCTGAGCTGGTGAAGGAGCGCAAGTACCTGCGGCTGGTAGTGCTCAACTTGTGCTGGTCGGGAATTGTAGCGCAGGGGCTGATCAAGCATGTGGACTTTGTGATCGGGCATGAGACGAGAGTTCCTGACGACGAGGCGATCGACATGTCCAAGAGCCTCTACTACTGGATGGGAATGAACTACCCGCTTCTTACAAACTTCAAGATCATGTCCCGCCCGTGCTGTCGCGCAAGTCATCTTCTGGCTCGCGTCCCCAGCAACGTGCGTACCTGGGAGGCAGCTGGAGTCAATGCTTTCAAGAAGCTGCTTGTCAACAACAACAAACAGTCAGGCGCCGATGACGGTCAGCTTGTAGCGGACCTCAAGCAGGTGACGCAGGGTCTACAGCAAGTCGTTCATGGGGAGCCAGCAGAGTCAGTGGACTCGGAAGTAGGATCGGAGGCAAAAGTGGCAGAGGTTTTGGTGGCCGCGTACTGTGGTGAAGATACGGAGGCGTTCAGAGATCGAGCGAGAGCAGCATGCAAGTATTTCCTCTCAAGCAGCAATCAGGAGCTGCCGCGCTGGCGGATCTGCTCAGTGATCCTGATGTGTTTCTTGCGGTACAAAGATGTATCGTTTGCTTCGCGAGTGATGCTGGGAAATTTCTACTCGATTGTCGAAGAGGAGCTTGTAGGACGCGAGTTTATCGAGGAGGTGATGAGCTACTTCAATGAGGACAGGATCTTTGCTCCCTCGTTCGAGGCTTGGAGGAAAGAGTCTGGCCGGGAAGTGCCGAAAGAGAAGACCTGCATTGCGATCTTGGATTATACGATCGTGACCGAGCTTTGCCGCGTCTTAGATGCTGACGAACTGCGAGATGCTCTAGCCGTGTGGAAGCGAAGAGTGCAAGATAAATGCTACGAGGCTTCCATGTCGTCAGAGGAGGCGATGGACTTGATAGAGGGCCATCTCCGGAAGCAGAGCTACCTTCAAAACGGGCAGAAGCTGCTGTTCTACTGCTATGTGCTGGACAAGGCAGTGGAGGTAGGAAGCTTCGTGATGCTGATGAGGATGACGAGACTGAGCGACATCTTCTTGTGCTACTCGCTGCTGGAATACAACAAGCGCCGGGAGACCCAAGACTGCACGACCAACGAGCTGGAGGGCTGGAGGACGTGGGTCAGCAGCTCTGGCTGGGTCGTTCACGATGAAGGTCGGGGGATGATGTGGAATGAGGCGGAGGAAGACTGGAGGGAGGAGCTGAGAAAAGCCTTCGAAGACATGGAGCGAAGAGATCTGAACGGCTTGGGGAGCGTTGGTGACTTCTTGCTTGGAAGCGATCGAGAAGTGAGACGTGAGAGGGAGGAGGCCGAGGGGAGGCCGGAGTGTAAGAAGCAGAAAGTCGAAGGAACCCAGCAGCGCCCGGCTGAGGCCCGTAGTACTGCTGGGAGCATGAACACCGAGGAGGATGTAGCAGTAGGGTCCAGCAGGGAAGGCATCGCAGTGGCGAAGCAGGTCTCGGGAGGAAACGCGAGCTCGACGGGAGAGAGGACCATTGTTGAAGTGAAGCAAAGAAGAAGCCAAGTAGACAAACAAGGTCAGACGCGAGGCAGAGTCACCCACTCCGACGACCTGCTTCCTGGACGCATGTACAAGCTGTATGAGGATAAGCGAGAGCTCGGACTGGTCGAGACCGCTCCAGGTTGTTACGTCCTTCAGTCCTCCAAGAACAGCAAGTTCTTTGTCTTCAGCCTCCCGTCGGGTCAGCACGTGTGGGAGAGCGAGGAGGAAGTGAGCGTGGAGGACGTGAAGGAGGTGCTGGTAGCGATGACCCGACTAGGTCAGTCCATCCACGTCAACACGGGGACGCATGGCGGGGAGGGCGGAGAGCTCAAGACAGCAGGGGACGAGACGGTTGACTTCTACCTGGAAGACTTTGAGAACGTCTCCATCCACCAGGTCTCCTCTGAGAGCGCCCCCTACCTGCCGCCTAAGGCCAACATGATCATCAACGCCTGGTGCTACAGCCATCTCTACGGCTTTGCCGACAAGGTAGACCTGTCGACCGGCAAGATCGCTAAGGTACACGGGGCATGCAGCCTGCTGCCGCGGCGTCTATGGAAGGACATCGAGAGCATGCTGGGGGAGGAGGAGAGCGTGAAGGATGCGATGGAGTGCTTCATAGAGACCAACTGCTCGGATGTCAATCCTGAGATCAGAGCGACAGCTGGAGAAGCTTCGGACGAGCTCCTGAGTCGCTTCATGGAGCGGGAGGACAAGCAGGTGCTGCTGCTGCTGGGTAAGGCCGGAGCCGGCAAGTCGACACTGGGGATGAGGTGGGCGATCGAGGCGGGAGTGGCCTGGAGGCCGGGGGAGCGATATCCAGTGTTCCTACATCTACCCAAGTACACGAGCGTCAGAGCGTACTTGGAGGATACAGGAGGAGAGAAGTTCGACAACGAGCGGGCATGGCAAGCATGGGTACGCGGGAACGACTCGTTTATGGTGGTGCTGGACTCATACGACGAGATGGGAGGGGAGAGGAACGTGGTGCAGGAGGTGCTGGAGGAGCTGGTGAGCTGCCGGGACGTCAAGGTCGTGGTCACGTGTAGGAGCGGCTACTTGGAGGAGGAAGGCAAGTCAGTCTCGCTATTCTGTCCTCGCGGGCTTGAAGCAAGAGACGCTGTGCTGGTGGCTTGGGTGTATCCAATGAGCCTGAGCGACAAGAAGGGAGTGAGCCGGTACATTGCACAGCACGCGAAAAGCACAAGGGGCGGGGGCTGGAGCAAGGAGAAGTACGAGGAGGCGATGAAGTCGATGCCGGAGCTTCAAGGCATCGTGAGCACGCCCTACTCGCTCAAGGTGCTTCTGCTCGTGCTTCCGAGGCTGCAGAAGAAGCGCAGGGCCAAGCCTGGACGGACAATCAACCGGCACTGCGTGTACAAGGAGTACGCCAAGGAGTGGTACCGGCGCGAGTGGTCCAAGCTCAAGCAGAGCCCGGAGCTTGAAGCCAGGGCGAAGGAAGCGGGCATCAACGACGAGAGTTACATGGAGAAGTACTCATATGCAGCTAAACAGCTCTGTCTTCACATGTACAGGGAAGGTAGGAGCCTTGTAGTCCTGAAGGAAGGAGACGCCTTCCTGTCTAGCGAGCCCTTCAGCTTGACCACGCGAGGAGGGACGTTGAAGTGCGAACTGGGGTACTGGCTGCTGCGAGGCTGTCTGACTCAGGTGAAGGAGAACAAGCAGGACGGGAGCCTGGAGGTAAGCTTCGTGCACGACCTGCTGCGGAGCTTCTTCCTGGCGGAGGCAACCTTCGAGCAGCTGCGTGAGCAGGAGGACGGGCGCGTGAGGGCACCGGCGAGTCTGACGCTAGTGAGGCTGCAAGAGGAGGTCGAGTCGATCAAGGAGCACGCCATGGTGGTGCGGAGCAAGCGCGACAAGTACAGGGAGAAGCTGGTGGAGGTGGTGAGAGCGTCGCGAGATGATGGGAGCGAGGAGGCCGGACGGGCGTCAGCGAACGCGGCTTCGATCCTGGTGGCGGCGGGGGAGGCTCTGTCGGGGCTTGACCTGGAGGGAGTGCGAGTGCCCGGGGCGATCTTGAGGAACGGCATCTTCCACCGCACCAACCTGAGGCGGGCTGACCTGTCGGGGGTGGACGCGAGTCACGGATACTTCATGGAGGCGAGGCTGGAGGGAGCTCAGCTGGACGGGGCTTACTTCGGGGATCGAGCGAGCACGAGGATCGAGTGCGAGGATGTGAGCTGCGGGGCCTTCGAGCCGGGAGGGAAGGCTCTAGCGACAGGGAGGAGGGACGGGAGGATACAGGTATGGGATGTGGAGACAGGAAAGTGTGACAAGGAGCTGGGATCGCATGGGAGCAAGATCAAGATACTAAGCTGGAGGGCAGACGGGAAGAGACTGGTGTCGTGGTCAGAGGATGGGAGGATGAGGGTGTGGGATATAGAGACAGGGAAGTGCTGCCTCGAGCTTGATAAGGGGCAAGAGAATATAGGGAAGATAAGCTTCATGGCGGACGGGAGGATAGCTTTGACTGGACGATACATGGAGAAGGATGAAAGGACGAGACTCGAATGGGTAAAGGAGCAGAAGGTACCCGTGGAATGGTCAGCAGAAGGAGTGCCAGTACCGACCAGGAGGAGGCTGGCGGGCAGGTCGATCAATGGAGATAGGGTGTTGGTGTGGGAGGTCGAGACGGGGAGGCGGGAGGAGCTGCAGGGAGGCGAGGAAGGAGTCGATGCGCTTGCGTGGGGGCCGGACGGGAGGAGGCTGGGCGGAAGGTCAAGGTCGAGGGATAGGGTGTGGGTGTGGGAGGTCGAGACGGGGAGGCGGGAGGAGCTGGAGGGAGGCGAGGGAGGAGTCGATGCGCTTGCGTGGGGGCCGGACGGGAGGAGGCTGTCTGTGTTCTGTCTGTCTCAAGGTCATGTGATGACGTGGACTCTAGCTGGGGATGGCCGTTGGCTTCTGTCAGCTGACTTCGGGCCGTTGGAGAGAGAGCTGATGTGTCGCGGTGCCGTCATCGATGAGACGCTCTCGAGCCCTGTCAGGCGACTGCTGGAGGAACGAGGAGCCATTTCTCAAGCCCCTTCGAGCCGCTCGCAAGCCACTAGGAGCTGCGTTTAAACCTCTAGGCGCCGGTACGGGAGGAGGCGTGTCAAGCGCTATGGAATCTGGCTTGAAACGACGACGAGGTTGACGATGAAGGCTTTCTTGTCGAGCAAGGGTTTGCAGCAAGTGGCTTCAGATTTTCTGGTTGGTTTTGGTTCACAAAAAGAAAGCAAGGTGATTTGTTTATCTACATGTTGTAATGAGAAAGTCTTGTGCAAGAGATGTTGAATGTTCTAGAAGTGCTGCAATGGTTTCCTTCAGTTGCTGTCTGACTACCCATCTATGTTCTGTAGCAGACAACATCTAGTACATCAATTGATCAAGTATTGCATCACAACAGCACCTTACTCACTCAGTCTGAGATCATCCTATCTTGCATCATATGACATCTCTACCTCGTCAACACGCTCTCTCTGCACTCACATCAGCACTGCAATCATCCTACAAGCTCATCTCACGACCTATCGACACTTCTGCCAGCCTTTCATGCCACAAGCGCTTCACCAGCTTCACGCCAGCATCAGAGAAGGAGAAGAGAGGAGAGGAGAGAGGGGGCAAGAGGAGAGGAGAGGAGAGGAGAGGAGAGGAGAGGAGAGGAGAGGAGAGGAGAGGAGAGGAGAGGCGAGGGACTCTGTGCGAGTCTTCTACGATGAGTGTTTATCTGCCAGTCTGATGGGGAGGTCAGTGCGAATCCTCGCGACTATCTCGCGTCTTCATCGCATGTGATTGACCCTTGTCATGTCACTTCACGTGTCAAGGACAACAAGCAGCGACAAGGAGCGACGTGAAGATGGATGATGATGATGATGATGGTGATGGGGATGGTGTTGATGAAGATGATGATGGAGATAGTGATGGTGATGATGGTGATGATGGAGATAGTGATGGTGATGATGATGCAGCAGCAGCAGCATTGTTCAGGATATTTACACTCTATAGCATCAGAAATTGTTGACTTGAAGATTTCATCTGCAATGTTGAGATCGCAGGTCAGCAATCTGAATGACAAGTCAGATTGCGGTCAGACAAGCTGAAGGGAATCCTGCTCCCTGCCTCCTGCTGCTGCTCCTCTGCTGCTGCTGCTGCTGCTGCTGCAGCTGCTCTTTCTCCTCCTCTGCTGCTGCTGCTTCTTCTCCTCCTCCTCCTCTGCTGCTGCTGCCGCTGCTGCCACTGCTGCCGCTACTGCTGCTGCCGCTGCTCTTCTCCTCCTCCTCCTCCTCTTGATCCTCCTGCTCCTCGTCCTGCTGATCCTCTAGTTCTAGGCTTCTCTTCTCCCTCTTCCAGCTCCTTTCATTTCCTGATCATTCATGTATTCATATCTTTGCTCCTCCTCCTCCTTCTTCCTTTTCTTTCTCTGTTCCTCTCGCATCTTTTCGTCTTCACCTCCATCTCGAGGGTGTAGATTCGACTAGCAGCTCGTTGTAGCGCAGACTCCTGACAAACGACCATGAGCGAAGATAAAATGAAGTCAAAAAGAAACCCTCTCCTCCTCCTGCTCTGGTTCTTTTACTCTTCCCTCCTCCTCCTTGCTCCTCCCCTCCCTCCTCCCCTCTCTCCTC